TTCAACAAAAATTGGTGAAGGCGTTGTCGCAACAATGCCGTCATCTTCACGACTGATATATGTACCACACATCACGGGCAAATACAGTGTGACAGCCGATATACTCTCCCGAATCGAGTTATTAGATAATTGCGACCAAATTAGCTTCGAAGAGTTAGCTGATAGTCAGAGGGATGACATATGTAGAACTTAAAGAGCTATTGATAAACAATAATCCTATACTGGAACTTAAACCCATCAATTTACCGAACACAACCATGGCTATTGAAAATCGATGATATTTCAAAACTAGACATGCACCTTCGAGTATTCTACTCACTCCATAATTTGGCACATCCGGGAAAAGCCGATCATTAAGCGAATCATTGCGTGTCGTTTGGTCGCACATGAAAAAAAATCGCAAAAATGGCGAAAACATGTGCTCCCTGTCAAAAGTTAAAAATCGTTCAACGCAATAAATTGGCTATCGAAAACTTCAAAGTGCCAGATCAGCGTGTTTTCTTCATTCACATAAAGTGCTCAAACAATGAACGGTGTTCAGATGCCTTACCACTTATTAAGCTTGCGATGCGAAATGTTTACATGGAACGCTTAAAAACCACCGTATCAGAAATCGTATATGGAACTACTTCGCGAATGTTTGACACCGTCAAGATATAAGTAAATCAAGAGTCGGGCATTTCGCAAAAGCGTAGATCGGCTAAAACCAGCTTTTTTACACATCGTCGAAGAACTTACGATCGTAGATTCAAGAACAATAGCCAAAAGCCAACCAAACAGCAGCGAAACGGATATCAACACAAACTCAGATAAAACAACGGGAAGAGGAAGAATGATAGCTCAGCCTTTGGTGACGGAGTACCGTTGCATCCAACATCTGGCAGAGATGCTTTGAGTGCAAGACATGTTGCTCGCACCTATGAAACTTAGCTCTAATGTAGCTGGCTACCAAGGATCATGAAACAAAGCTATGATACATTTTTTTCTATATTATACACGCCGAAAGGAAGCACCTTTGGTACAGAATTGAAATTGTTTAATAAATATCTTAAAATTAAGGTAAAATAGGAACCTAGTCCACCAACTTGAATACTTTTGCTTCTTGCTTTAAGATTAATTTAAAACATGTCACCTTTCTAGCTACAAAATAAATGTGGCACATAAATTCTGATCTCAGGCTCATAGAAGCTAAAAAGATTGTCATAAGAATATTTTGTTTTTGTTTTTGATATATTTTTTCCTACATTTTCTTTTTTTTTTACATTAACATTAATTATCTTCTCCATACACTGCCTGCACTTTTTTATCGTACATATTTATCGATAAATTTTTCTACTTTATTTATGATCTAATCATTAATTCTCATAATACGTTCTTATACTTTTAAGGTATTTAAAAGATATTTAATCATTGAATTCAGTGTAAAGTTTAAAATTAAATGTATCTAATTTTTCTATAAAGTAATAATGTAAAGTCGGGTATTTTTTGCGTTTTTTTACTTATTTATTTTTTATTGCGAATTATGAATTTTATACTTAAATAGGTATAAAACGAATAATATATGATCTACTTTGTGCACATTACTTGTTGAATAAGTGCAGCGTGTGAGCCCACCGTTAGATACGAAGAGCTGCAGATCAGCTTTTTTTGCGAGTAGCACAGAAAGTACATATCTCAGCAGTAGAACATTCTCGAAGGTTATATTTAAGGTATAGGCAGGTCGAACGGCCTAATCAGTACTTCATTGGCATTCCCTCGAAGTTTAGAAACAAAAAAAAAAACATAAGACATATGTATGTACACATGTACATACTTATACATAAGAAAAGGGAAGTCATGCAAAGCAGAAAAATTTGCGTATCTATACGAGTATTTCCTATATTTCATGTTTTTTTATCATTAAAAGTAAAGACAATAAATTACCGATAACTGGCCATAGAAAAGTGTATTTTAAACTAGAGCCTTTTGTAAATTTGGTAACTAAAATGAGCTTTAAAGAAGAGTAGTTTTTAAAGGCAGACTAAATAAAATAAAATATTGGACACAATTATGAAGGCATAAGGAAAGGTTTTCAAGGCATTCAGACTTTGGTGAGCACCCAATAGTAAATTTAGACTAATTTCAAATACATTTACTGTGATTAATAGAATATTTCAAGTTTCTTATTCATTTATAAAAAAGTAGATTAACTTACGCTAATTGTAATAACAATCCGATAAAATGATGGTGTTAAATTTTCTCAAAGTATTGTTAACTTATATAATTTCTAATGACACTTAGATTTGTGGAAATCTGTAAAATAGTTTCGCTATAAAATTCAGTTGATGCTCTTTCTTTGTTGAATGAGTGAAATTCAGTTTCCTATTTGTTTTTAAACTCTGTTTTTTTTTACAATGCTTACTTCTCCATCAACACTAGTTGTTATCGATTAATCGATACGCTTGAAAACGTTTGGGCCGATTGTTTAATGCAGGGGCGAACATTACAATCGTCAAACGTTTATACAAACATACATACTTATTCGTAAAATGTTTGTGTAATATTTTTCCCTTAAACATATTTCGCCTTTTGGGCTTTTCCTTAACACATTTTAAATTTTTGATCTACCATTTTATTTCTTTCAATAAGTTTGGCATAAATAGTGTTTGTGGATTAAATTTTTTTAATTAGTAACCATTGTTACATAATTAGAGTATGCTACTTGATTTTAGCAGAGTAATTTTTTCCGAAGAAGAGGTTCTTTCAAGATTTTAGGGAGGAGAAGTTGATAGCTTAGAAAAATATGTATATGAAATTAGAAATTTTGAAGAACAATACAAATTACCCAAACACGTTAAATTAGTAATTGGAAGACAGTTTGTTTTCCTCACTAAAGAAGGGTGTAAGAGCAGCGGAGTTTATAGTAAAACCGACTACAGAAAATTGACAAGAAATATTTTTGATTACAGTTCGAAGAGAAAAATTTTTGACATGCAATTGAAAAGAATTCCTGCTAATACATATTTCATATGTCACTACAGGAGCATGTTTTGCTTTACTTAAATTATCAATTTCAAGATATGTAAATTGAGCAATGGTTTTGCTTGATATTTGTATTGCTTTAATGGTTTTTTCGATTATTTGATTTTTATTCTTTACTCCATTTTTCTTGGTTTTAAAATTTTTTTTTTACTGAGATCTTTTTTATCGATTTTCAATATTCTGATAAAGGCTTTGTTGGAGTGTAATAACTTGTTTTCACTATGTCAAATTTAATGGCGTTTGTCGTCAAATAAGTGAAAACACACTGTGGTGAACGACAATAATTATTCTGTAGTGTATTTTATTGTAAACTGAATAAAAAATATAATCACATAACCAGATATCCTGATAACCAGGCAAGTGTGAAGAACCACACTGTCAAACAGGATTAAAAAGCGGTATATCGATTTATTTCGATCAGGATGTCTTTAGTCGCATTCATGCGCTGCTAAATCTGCTATCTGTCTGTTTCGGCCCATAATATCATCGCTAAAGCTATGGATAGGGGGGGGGGGGGGAGTTCTGTCAAAAGACGTCGAAAAATTTTGGCATAATTTGACATGATGAAAACCAGCCTTTAGAAAAACATGTACGTAGTTGGATTTTTAACCATTTTTGAAATGTAACAGTTTTTACGAAAAAAGGAATACAGTTTCAATCAGGAGCCGAAAATAACCATTAAATATCAAATATTTTCATTTTAAGATCATAGAAAAATCGTTGTTTTTTGATTTTGATTTTTTCGATCAAGAATAATAAATAAATTTTTTTCCGACAAATTCAAAAGTTGTTTTGTGATTTGATTTATATTTTTCTTCGATCAATTCTACCGTTATAATGCAAGCTGCGTTTATTTAAATCTATAAATAAAAATCCAAATATAAATATTATTCTTGAACGAGAAAATAAAAATCATAAAATAACGGTTAATTTAATCGGAAAACTAGCAATCCAATTTTAAAGGTAAAATTATGGTTTTTACTAAAAAGATCATAACTGTTACGAATGTATTTATTCGAATGAGGAATAACAAATAAATAAATTTTCGTTATTTGTAAACAATAAATAATGTAGTTTATTCAAAGAAAAATTATTCCAATTACGGATATATTATTTTATTCGTTATTCGAATAATTAAGCAAAATAAAGCAATAAATATTCTTGATAAAACAGTAAACAGAATTCAACAAACTGACAATAAGTGACAACAGAAATAAAAGTAAATCGTTGCTCAGTGTGTTATAAATCGAGTTGACGAATAATTTATTCGCAAGCAATTTATTTATTTGTGAATGAATTATTTGCGAATAATTACATTACAGGGTAAAATTTTATTCGAATAATTATCTAAATAATAATTTATTCGAATAATGCTGAACTCTGGTTTCAAATACTCATTCAGTTCGAAATTAGGGTGTATCGATTACGAGTACAAATATGATTTTTTTTGTAGTGGTTTTCTTTTTATATAACAATTCTGAAAAATAGCAATACAAGACTTATGACTTTCTAATTGAAAATTTTGTGTGAATTTTGTCAAGCGCCTAAAAGTATGCGACATGGAAGCCAAAGAAATCCGTAATTTGTTGGGTAGAAGTTATTATAGTGCTGGAATTTGCACTTTCCCAGCGTATGCCAGTTACTTTTATGTTAGATTTCAGTTCCGTTGCATACTTTTAGGCAGTTTTTAATTTATTGAGGAATCTGGTCAAATGATACAACATTCGTCTTTTAATTTAATACTGTCTTCCTGCTTAATTCGAGTTTAAGCGTCATCTCAGGTATACGCTGGTGACCAGCTTCAAAAAACACAAATATTTGGAAACTAAAAAATTGTATAAAGCATATGAAAGAAAACAAATTATTGCTACATGCTGTGTCTTAAATTAGATTTTTATTGCATAATAATATTCTTGTTAAAAGTTTTTTAACAAATAATTTTTTAAGCTATTTATAAACCCTTTTTTTGTTATTAAAAACAAATAAATTTGATTTTCTTAAGATGAATTACGACTAAGCGAATAGTTAAACGCGAGTTGGAATTTTTAAAATCGTTTATATATACTATTGCTTATAATAACAATTTATTTAAATTATCTACAACGAATACGTGTTAACAAAAATAAAAACATTTTACAGGTATAATACATTTGCTTTCATGGACATTATTGCTTGCCTGTAAATTTTTTTGCCAACAAGAATTTAAAAAATATATTTTTAAACGTACCTTAAAAACAACAAAAAATTAACAATTAAAACACGCACTTGTCTTTTCTTTTATCTACATATCTTAACATATTTTGCACCTTAAAACTTAAAATCAAAAATTTGTTCAAAAAAGGATTACATACATTTTCTGCTTTCCCCCTTCTAATATCCACCTGCAGCATGGAATTGTTAATATCCTGCAATGATGCTTAATGCCAAGGAAAAAAGGCTATAAATTCATACACACACACACACACACACACTTGCGATACGCCTGCAGGTATTTATGCAACTTTCTTCATCTTACAGGTGTTTGTCTGCTATACTTCACACTTTTTTTAAATTCTGCTGAAAATATCTATAATGGCACGTTGTTCACACGTTCGCACCGTGCGTTTGAAAAATATATATCGCTGCTATGGAACACACTTGTACAAACATTGCAGCTAGTAGATGCTGTATTTCTTGCTTTGTTTCCTTGCAGCATGGTAAAGTCTCCCCGCTCGCACTTTTCTTACGTTTCAATCCACCAACTATGTATCTCCAGTTTTGCGTTCCTTTACTGCTCTGCTACATACAATGCTCGTACGTACATATGTTTGTTTATTTTCACTGCACTTAAGCTGGCACAACATACTCCGGATTCACGTAGGAGAAGCCCACAAATTCCGTTTGATCCAAATTCATCATAAATACTTTATCCGTTGGTGTCAGATCCGTTTTCTCCGATGTGAATTGCTTATCGAAATTCGAGACATCTTTGCGATGTTTCTGTATGTGTGTATGCATATACGTGCGTGTTGTCAAGTATGTTTGAGAATTTTAATTAAGCGTGCGTTAAAAATATTTGCGCATATTAATTTTGCGAAAGTATTTAGCAGCAGTTGGAGGATGCATTAAGAAAAAATACAAAAATTTAAATATTAACCAAAAAACGAATTTACTTTTAATTTTCAGTTTATACATATATGTATGTATGTATGCTTTCGATTGCTTTTACTTACAATCTTCGGCTTAAATGGTGGTTGCACTTCACGATTCTCAATTTTCTCCCAATCGATTCGTCGAAAGAATGGATGTATACGTACATCCGCTTCACCCGTGGGCCCGCAGCCAAGCCGTTTGGCAGGTAATTTAGTAAGGAACTGCAATCAGAAAAGATGAAAGAATTTGGAGATTAGATAATTGCGAAATAGGGAAAATGGCCAAAGTGCCAATTATTGTGTGTTTGTTTCCTTTTTAAATAGAGCGTAAACCCAATGTCGTCTTCAAGCTGCTAAAATGCAAGTAAAATTTATGGAAGTGAAATCAGATAGACAGACCTCTTGTTCCTACTAAATACCTCATTGTTCCAAACAAAGTGGCAGTGAAGAAGATAGTTGTATTATGTTGTGCTCTTTCTTGACCATAAATGTCCTATGCACCTCTCTCTTCCTCGTGAAACGGTCCTACACTCCAAAAAGAGATGCAATGATGTCTCCTTGTCGGACTCACAAAAGCGACATATGTAGGTCGCTTGACCAGATCTATAACTTATGAAAGTAGGCTCTTATCCTACAATGCCCCGCTAAAATACCTGTAATAATTATCCTTTACTCTTGGTTTGACGTATACCGGGGTGTTTCGTCAGTGCAGTTCCCTCAGTTTGCTATTTTATATTCTGGGCACTTCCTTCGTCGTGTCAGGACACACCGCTAGGAAGAGCTCAGGTCTTATCGTGACCGAGGCAGCCGCCATTCTGGCTAACAGAGCAGCTTCCTCATATCAACTGGATAACATTCTTCTCAGCAAGGGCAGTAAGCTTTTGAACATACCCTAGGACCTATGAGGATTTGACTCCGAGGGTGATAGAGCCTCAAGTGCCGCCTGACTAGCACCTAAAATAAGGATTCTCTCACTCCGATAATTTTTAAGAAGTCTAATCTCTGCATACAGACTATTGGCATAGACTTCCATTCGGAAGATGCTTGGGGAGGTTCCCAAGGGCACTACAAGCTTCAGACTGGAGCCATATACGCCTATTCCAAGGCACTCTTGGGTCTTAGATCCAGACGCTTACCACTCTATTGTGCTCTTCTGGACTCGTCTCTCTATAATATATGTACACAAGGTCGACTTGCTCTTAAAGCTTCTTTCGAAAACTACTACTCTATGCAAATCGTTTCTGGGGAACAGAATTTGTGTGAGCTGGGCGCCTAGATAGTTCCTGTTCTGAGTTGATAAAGCGTTACCTTTCCTAAAGCCCTCTCATGCGAAATTTGAAAGAGTTCGCTTTGCAGCCTCTTCAACTGTATGCTGCAGTGGCCAGAGTTCAAGAATTACCTCCATTAATATTTCGAGTCCAGGATAAAACCCAGATACTTCACTTCTGTGAAGACGTTGACGGCGACCTTATCCAAAGCTAAGTTGCTCATCACCTTGAAATTTATTTTCCTTGCGAAAAGGACGATGAAGGCGTGTATCTACCAGCACACATGTGTGAAAAGTAGAAAAAGGAACAAATTATTTAACGCCAGTAGCTTAATCATTTAATGTTGCATACTTATAGGCCCATCGGACACGCAACAGTTTTAAAATGGCTAAACACATTGATTTTTCTTATAAGGTTCAGTGACTTTATCAGATTTCGAATATTTTGAAGGCAGTATAAAAAGATTGGGCAAATTGTATACCAATCGTGTGAATGCATAAATGTTTTTCTTTATCGCAATCACGAAAAACAAAATTTTAAAATTTTTCAAAAGAAGTTCCCTGTATTGTACCAATGGTGTGACTACAAAAAAAAAACGCCCACTGAATTGACTAGATATAAAAATATTTAAACTTCCAAGCTCCCAAAAATATTGAACCCACATACACATACTCTGCTTTCGAAAATCTGCATTTAATTATTGAAAATACGCTTGACCTTCCAAATTCTCTGTTAGTATTCGTGGCCTTAAATTGTACTGTACCCATACGCCTACAAATGGAATAAAGGACAACAATAAACAATGAAAATACACTTATCATGCATAGCATTTATCTATATGGTGTGTGTATTATTTATTTATTGCTGTGCGTAGCATAGCATTGCGGCACATTTAAAATTAATTTATGCCCAACAACACATGTCTGCATAATTAAGAATGTCGTCCGGCCACAGAAACAGACACTAAAAAATTTGAATAAAATTTCAGCCTGGAGCTTAAATTGTAGTGCTTCAGTAAACAGACCTAAACATTTTGGCTTGCATATAAATATTTTAGTCTTTAGCAAATTCAACTTACCCCTTTGCATGCCTCTTTGGCCTCTTTGCTCAAACTCTTCGGATAGGAGACATTGTGATCGGTGATAGCAGCAAACAATTCTTCCTCATCTTCACCGTCGAAGGGCGGCTGGCCAACCAGCATCTCGTAGAGCAGCACGCCGTAGGCCCACCAATCCACGGATTTGCCATAGGGTTGATACAGGATGATCTGTTTGGTGAAGAAAGAAAGCGATGAATAGAAGTTTTAAGAGAGGCCAAAAGATGTGAGGAAAAGTAATTGAATGTAATGGATTTTGGAACGAAACTACGTTGTGCCTTGTTAAGGAAGTTCATCATGGCACACGACGTTGCCACTTGCCAATGAGCGCATGAAACAAAGGCCCCATTGCGAACGACGTTCTCAGGACGCATCATCTCACAAAACAACGAGGCCAAATAGCCACAGAGATATTGCTATTTAACACCATTGGACTTCTTTATTTCGAAAAACATATAGTAATACCATGAGAGCTTTCCCGAAATCAAGAACATATCCATTCATCCATCCATTGGACTCTTTTCTTTGGGACTACGTGAAAAGTATAGACTAAATATGCTAATAATCTGGATACGATTCCATTAGCTCGTTTCTGTAACTTTTCTCTCTACTGGAAGAGAATATCCGTCATTCTCTACTACTCATTAGCAATAGAGAGCAACAATATATATGAACTCGCCTTGGTAGCGAATTGTTACAGAAACGAGATACACAGCTCAAGAACGAAATTATAAGCGTTATAAATGATATACAGCTCCAACTATGACAAACAGTTATGTGTAGAAAATTTCTATATGCGCATCCTATGTTGCCAGAGTCGTGGTGGGCATTTAACGGACATTGCAAATAAATGCCATAGACTAAGAAAGAAGATGACATAAATAAACCGTTCGACATATTTTCTTCTGTTTTATTTAAAAAAGAAAATCTGCGGTCGTACTGAATCACCCTGCACAAAAATCAAAACCCTGTTTTCGCTGATTCCAACTCCCGCCAAAATAATTTACTGCTCGTTGACAATATCCGCCCATAAAATTCACATTCGTTATCTAAATTGTTTCAAAAATAAAATATAAATTCGACATGCCTTTTTTTTATAGTAAAACTCGCTCATACTCCCACGTGTTTATCGACTTGGGCTGAACTGATTACTGTCACACGCACAAAATTGTGTTTATCTTTGAAATGAAATCGAAATTGTTGACCCATTTATGTAGCTGCGAGTCATAACAATACTCACGCAAACGCTTATAATAGACATTCGATTAATGTCACTCACCTCGGGTGCTATGTAGTCGGGTGTGCCGCAAAATGTCTTTGTTGTCTTATCGCCAATAATATTCTCCTTACACATGCCAAAGTCGGCAATTTTAACATGACCATCGGCATCCAAAAGGACATTGTCCAATTTCAAATCCCGATATAAAATGCCTTTGCTGTGCAGATAGAAGAGACCGGCGGCAATTTCAGCGGCGTAAAAGCTAGAAGCAGATGAAAAAAAGTATACATTTGTAGTTAAAAGGAAAATGAAATAAAAAAATTTGTAAAAAGGATACAGTAATAGAGCAAGAAAAAGTAAGTATCTCTGAGATTGGCCACTTCACAAAGGTCAGCCACTTTACAAAAGTCACTTATCAGAGGTCAGTAAAATCTACGCAGTTAGAGAGTGGCCAGTTGTGCTTATGTGTATATGTGTGTGTGTTTTGTTATTTGGTTTACCAATACTTACACAGCCACTGGCTCCTTGAATTTTCCGAATTGTTGTATTTGAAACATCAAATCGCCACCATTGACGTACTCCATAACAAAGAAGAGCCGGTCTAGTGTTTGGAAGCACGAGTGCAGCTGCACCAGGAATGGCGGCTTCTCGCCTAACGCCAGCACACGCTTCTCAATCATTGTACACTCGACATCATCGTCCTGTATGATGACATCCTTTTTGAGTATTTTAATGGCGTAGAGTTCCTCTGTGCCTTTGCGTTCGGCCAGCATGACCTGTGGGAAAAGATAAAAAAATAATAGATATAAAAAATTAAAGTACAGTGTGTTAAAATAAAAAAAGCTTTATAAAAGTAAATTAAAGTGTGTACCCTACACATTTTCAATATTAAAAACTCGGAATTGTATTAAGAAATTTTATATAAGTTTTCAATAAGTGTACACATATGTACACACGTGCACGCACACACACATACATGAAAAATGCAGTGAAGTCTCGACATAACGAACATTGATAAAACGAAAAACTCAATATAATAAAATTTTTGCTGAATCCCCTGAAAATACTCGTTGTTGCAAAATTTTTCACACAAAAACGCTTCATAGATGAAAAAAAGTTCGACCATAACAAAGTGTCGACTCATAGGCCTCTATATAGTAAATTCTGAATATGTTAACGGTTAGATTCCAGTTATAAAAAAAAAAAACTTATAACGAATTTTTAAAAATTTTTGCATTTTTCGTTTCACTGAGGTTTTGATGTTCTATAAATATAACGAAACTATCGACATAACGAAGCATTTGTTCAACCCCTTTAACTTCATTATATCGGGGATTCACTGTACAAATATTATCTATCATGTATAAAAGTGTCAACAAATGCATTTTATTATCATTTTTATTCTCCTTCTCTCTCTCTCTCTCTTTCCCTCACCTTGCCAAATGAACCCTTGCCCAGCACTTTGATAAAATTGAAATCCGTCGCACGTATCATATCCTTTTTGGATGGTGTCTGTGCATTTGTATCGCTGCGCATCACCAGCGGTTTCTTTTGTGATGATTTCTATGAAAAAAAAAACAATAATAATAATAAAGATTGCCATTTTCATTTCAAATGCAACGCACCCGCATTTGACTCTTGAGTTTAAGCAGATCCTGTGTGGCATCAGCGCATGGCACATTATAGTATTCACCTTCTTCTTGTGTGAGCAATTTGAACCAGCCGTCCGCGGGGTTCTGGATGAAGAACGCAAGTTGGAAAAATTATGAAAAGAATATTTTTTTAATTACTCACCTTAATAATTTCAGATATGCCAAAGGACAACGCGCCCATGAAATCATTGCGCGATGTACGATCCCAATCCCAGACCTCGATGAGTACGCGGCGATCTTTATCTTCGGGCTTGAGATCACTATAAAGAGGAAATGAAAGGTGGATTTAATTTTAACTAAAACCTTCGAACGGGAAGTTCGGCAGAAGAGGAGAAATGCGAGAGAAATAAAAAAGATCAAAAAGTTTTCGAAAAGTCTGACCTTAAAAAGTAAATCGCCACTTTTATATTTTTCATTTCCTTAAAAATCATAAAAAGTAGTCTGTAGAACTGAAAATTATATGTAATCATAAAAAGCCGTATTCCATCTTGAAGTTTTGATAAGATTTTGCTTTACAAAAATTAGGGTTAAAGGCTCATGCATTTTTTTTTTTTTGATATATTAACCCATAATGGCAATTGGGCTCATAAAATTTTAATAAGCCTTGAAGTTATTGAAATTTTAATTCCAAACGACCTGCGTAAAATTATTTAAAAGAAATAGTTATACTAGTATAAACTCTGGATTTTTCAATAAAAGCTTTCACTTGAAAAAAAACATCTTTCACTATAAGCTTTCACGCAAAAGGAACTTTCCAGAAAAATGACAAGCTTTCACGCATAAAAGAAACAGCTTAAGCATCACATTTGCTGATCTTTCGTGCTTTTTAGTAGCACTCATTGTTTGAGATAGATACTAAAAAGTTAAAACTTTTTATATTTTTCTCTAATATATTTCAAGAAATTCTACATACGGTATATTAGGGTGGTACTAAAGGTATCAATATCTAAATTTTAAATGGGGTAATTATTATAATGATACTGGGATACCCTTTTATTTTGTACGTACAACAAAAATTTTAAAAATTTTAAACACATTTTTAGGAGTTTGAAAAAATATTAAAAAAATAAATAAATAGCAAAATTCGACAAAATTTTTGAAACTTATTCATATAAACTCATAAAATCGCTGAGTCAAAGTCAAAGTTTTGTCGAATTAAAAAAAAATAAATAGTTTAATTTTTTAAAAACCACCCTACTGTACATGTGGACAAATATTATTACTCACTATTTGATGGTTTCATTCCACACAGGATTCAGACATGCCTTAATTGTACGCGTCTTTTTCTTTGACTTTTCATGCTCGTCTGGAATCAGTTTGACTTTGACATATGGATCGCTGAGACCATTTGGATCCATTGGAATGAGATTGCGGCCTTCTTTGACTGTAATTTAGAGAAAACCAAAATTAATTAACTATCTTTTTGTTTGAAATGTGTGCGATTAAATATTCTCTTAAACCATCATAAAACTTTGGTTAATCTACTTACTTTGCACCGTCAGCAAATTCTCCTTCACATTCAATTCCAAATTGATGCGTCCGCGACGTTCAGTATGATCGCAACCACATAAGCTCGGCACATTCTCCTTACAGCGGGCATGAACGTTCATGTCACATGCTGCAGCACGAAATCCAAACCAACAGGTGAACGAAAGTATGTGAATGCAATAGTTATAAAAAAAAAATAATTAAAAAATAATTAAAACTATGTACTTAGTATTGTTGTTGGATGGGAAAAAGTTTCTGTACAACTTTTAGCTGCAATAAAAGAAAAAAACTTATTCGGACGAAAAGCAGAGCGCCAAGTGAAAGTTTAAAAGTAATAAAGAACATAAAAAGGACCACACACTCGCACGCAAGGACATTTTTAATACAATCAACAAAAATACGTACGCACACTTACAAATGCAGACGATATAATGGACTTGCAAACGTACGAGAAAAGTATATGCAATAACACTAGGTTGCTCCTTAAACCGACGCAGATATCAGAGTAGAATTTTTTTTATTATATGACTTACCTGTTCATCCTGTACGCAATGACTGTTTTTTTATATTTATGTATTTATCAGACTACGTAAAACTCAGATCGATTTATTGACTAAATAATAAAATATATATCATAAAAAAAATATTTTACTTTATTGAAACTCTGAGCTCAAGGCAGAATCTCTGTGAAATAGTTTCATAGAGAAATTAAAGCAAGTCTTGGAAATTATGCCAGTTTTATCAATTAACATTTAGCTCTAGGCCAAAAAATTTCTCATGCCACCTAGACAGTATTATTAGGCATTTTAAAAATTATAGCAGCATCTATACCAGTTTCATGAATTCTGATTTTATTTATTTGCAGCAGGCAGTTTTTTATAACAGTTAGAAAATATTATTAATATGTAGAAAAATTATAATGGCTCTTAAGGCACAGTTTTTAATTTGTGTTGTTTGTAGGTTACAACAAATAAGACCATTTTTTAATATCAGATTTACAGTTACAAAGTTTCTTTTTCCATTGCTCCTCTCCATTCCATTTTTCATCCGTTATTCCACTTAAGTGCGCGGCAGAAACGAATGTACAGAAAACAACCGAAAATTGTTTTGAAACGGATACGTATTTGGCTGTTTTTCTGAATTTTTTTTATTGAATTTTTCGTTCAATACGCTATCCTTCTGCACTTCGCCGATGCTTTTTCATGATTCGGAAAAAAATTTAAATAAGGAAGCGGCATTCGAACCCGGCAACTTCTGAAAGCTAACCAGCATGCTCCTCTGCACGCTCAGGTACTGTCGACTACGTGTACATACTTTCAAATGTTCAACTTAAATAAATAAAATACAATTATTGCAAACTGCACGTTTTTTGAATGTATTTGGATACGTAAATAAACTAAAATTGTAGTCGTTGTGCTTAATATTGCCGTTGTCAAAAAAATCTATTAAATTCTGTAAAAAAAATTTATTTTGTAGTAAGAGTTGTTATACTTTGGGGACTACATATGTATATATATATATATGATTGTACTCTGGAATGGTCCGGTAAATAGTTGCGCCCTTTGTACAGTTGTTAAGCCAGTTAGAAGTCGGACTAAATTTTCGGCTCTGTAGTCGAAAAGCTGAAAACTTTAACAATTTCTTCCGAGTTTTTTTTCGAAGGGTGGTGCATCACGCAAATAATTCATTAAAGACTAGATAGGCTCAATTCCTATAAAACTAGTAGGAGGGGAAAAATAGTATCTCCACAGCTTGCAGAATCTGACTGCAGTTCTTCCTTTAGGGGCCTACAGCGCAAATAGTGAAGGGGCTACTGATTAAGCCCATCACATTTCCCAGCCTATTTCACTCAGCGCGGAAATTAGACCCAAATGCTGTAAAGCAAGTCGACGACGATACTATCTTGCTATAATTAATACTCAGCCCAGCTTAAAAATGCATAGTTACCTACTCACATTTATTAAAAATCAATAGCAAATAAACTAATTCAAATGCTCAACACGGGAATTGGATTTAAATTAACGGAAATTATAATTCAAATCAAGCTAACTGCCTAGTGCCGATGAGAAATGCCGATATGTATTAAAATATATGCACTGCAACGATTTTGCTGCTTTTGCTATTTACAACTGTTGCTGCAATAGCAAACCATTTCAGCTAACAATTACGGTAGTTGTAAACGTCGTAGCGGTAAAGGTAGTAGATTCTTCGGCCATGCATTGCACCCTTCGCAAGAGCCAAGCCAAGCCAAAGCCAACTTCCACACAGGTTCGTTGCATTGCAATTCAATTGTGCATTCGATTCAATTCATTTCGATTTGATTGGTTGCCGTGCGATGAATTGGAATTTTGTGCGGAAATTGAAAGCTGAATGAATGTGCACGTTAAACACAGACTAGCTAGGTTGGAGTACATAAATATGTAAATACATGTGCAATACATATACAATTGTATTGTAGCAACAGGTCGTATATGTAGTATGCAAGTAATCACCTTGTTCGAAAAGTCTCTCCCCTATTCATTTGTATTGCATGCATGCACTGTCCTGAAGCTTTTTTTTATTACGACTCATCCAAACAACAATGCGGTATAAATTTACATACAAACTTACATACATATGTATTTATTGGTAGAAACAAATTTATGTATCTACAATAGCTGTTTTTTTTTTGCTAAAATTATTAGAGCATGTCTAATGCGCATTCAATGCTGTTCGAGATACATCTCCGACCATAAAAAACGCTCTGTGTAGTTATTATAAGAATGCGAGTATGCATGGCTTGTGGCTGATATCGGGGTAAAGAGCTGCAAAAAATCCTGTAACAAAAGTGGTAAAGTGGTAGTGGTAGTGGTAGCAGAAATAGTTGTTAAATAGCGTGCAAATAATGGACAGCGTTGAGAAGTTGTACGAAGTCCATCAAAGGAATGGCTTTTCACGCATCTAAGTCGGCGAACGTGAAGCGAAAAATGCATTCTGAGTGCCGCTTAAAGTGTTAAAATAGTGTTTTCTATAAAAGGACGCTTGATATTAGATGTTGGGTTAGATATGTATACCAAATACATATATACAGAAAAAAAACTAATTAATAAACCAAATTCAAAAGAATGAGCATCTCTGCCGGCATAAAATTTTATACCAGTTTATACCAGTCCTCAGACCAGTTTTACACCAGTTTTCAAAGCACATTCCTTTAAGATCGTCGAAAATAAACAGTTGGTGAAAATGTTCATTATTTATACCAGTTAAAAATAACACTTATAGCAGTTCTATCTTTTTGTATTATATTGTTTTTTATGCATTTCCTGAAAAAGTTAGTATTTAGTTACATATTCGATACATTAACTTTTTATACCAGTTTTAAAAAGCTAAAATGAATTTGATTCAATTAAATGTTAATACAGTTTTCATATGAAATTACTCATTTGAAAATTTATACTAGTTTTTATACCAGTTTGAAAAAGCATAAATAAAAAAGGCGAGACTAAAAGTTGTTAAATAACAGCGATTGTACATGGCGTATGAGTAACATCCTTTCCTGCTAATGTTTCATATAAAAAATCTTTGCGTATTTTCGATGGACCACTCATTCCTTTTTTATTTAGTAGCTTATTTTTTTTTTTTGTAACAGAACAGGCTTTAACACAAATTAAAAAAATTTAAACAGAATCTGTTTTTTTTACAAGCTTTTATTGTGTTGCACCTGCGTATATTCAAATTTCGCAGTCAATCTTTAACCAACTTACCGATGATTTAGAGATTTGAAACTTCCGATTACAATCTATGTAATATGAAACATGAATTAATCCGTTAGGTGATACAGGTGTCGAGATATCTGAAAACCCTGTATTTATGGTCCGATATTTGTTCACAGTTGTAATAAATATTACCTACATGAAAAGCAATAACTCCACAAACATTTTGTCCGATAGGTGGCGCAGTATCAGAGATATTTGGAAAATCCGTATTTATGATCCGATTTGTTTCATATTTAGAACATATATGTATATATTACTTAAATGGAAAGAGACACCTCCACAAAAAGCTTGTGTTATACGTATTTTTTTTTAATTAGTTGTTTAAATTTTTTCCCTGTTCTAGTTTGACTTTTCGAACAAAAAAAAAATTGGGAATTATTAATTAATTTTTGAGAAACCATCAGGCTTGTCGAAAAGTGACGTATATGGGCAAATCTAAAAAATAGGTAAACTCCAAAAAAAAATTTTTATTTTTAAATTTGTGAGCACACCTATGTTTTATATATAATTTTATTCGTACTCTCTTAATGAATCGATTAATATAAGTGTAATTCATTTTCATCAAGTGCTTCAAAAGTTAGACGAGGAATAAACATGAAATAGAAAACAAAAGTATAAGCTGGGTTCAAATTACGTTGTTCAAGTTGTAAAATTTGAGGAAAGATTTTGAAAGTTGAACTCACTTAATTAGGATGTTCTAAATTCAATGGCCCTGTTTTAACAGATTTGCTCCGGTTTTCGAGATAACGCTACTTGAAAATTTGCTTATATTTTAACTATTTTATAAATAACTCCCCCAATTTTGAAGTTATTTTACTAAACTTTTGCACATAACGGTTTTTTAATATTACCTTAATTATTCCTTAAAATTATCGAAATGGTTGCACTTTAACGTATAGCTCCAATACAACTGATTACTCAGATATGTGTTTTTGCGCTATAACTCTAATTTCATATCTGAATAATAAATTGTATGCATGCTATATGTTAAAGTGAACCTATACTAAATTTTTACATGCTTAATTGGAGGAGTTATAACGCAAAACAACGTCTCTGGACAATCAGTTGTATGGGAGCTATATTTTAGAGTAAACCGATTTCATTGATTTTATGAGATGGTGAAGGAAATGTTAAAATACAAGCGTGTGCAAAATTGTAGTAAAATATCTTCAAAACGGAGGGAGTTTTTTTTATAAAATAGTTAAAATTTAAGCAAAGTTTCAAGTACCGCTATCTCCAAAACTGGAGACAATCGGGAAAAACTGGGGACGCGAATGAATTTAAAAGGCTCCAATTAAGTAAGAGCAACTATCAGAACCTTTGTCGAAAAAAATTTGATTTGATACCACGCTCGAAATATTATGACTATAAGAAG